TAAACCTGGGAGGGAGTCATGATGCCTATCTAATACAGAATATAAGAGCATGAACAGATAGTCTCACCAGGATTTACTGTAGTTCTTCTTTGCCACAGTAGGTAGGAATCTGTACACATTCAGGAGCTCCTCTTTAACATTCCTTCATCTGGTACTTACTGAAGTTCTGCTTCAAAATCTGAATCCTAACATGTAATTCAAATTAATTCCCCGGGTGGGGGGGGGACAAGTTCAAATTCATGATGCGGGGCAGGAGGAGAGACAAAATCTGCCCCTAAAATGAAAGGGCAGGACACAAACCAGTGGAAGGGAAAGCTTGACTCTAACCAAATATTTCAGCTTGAGATTTCACAAAACCTCCCCCCTAAAAAATTCTTTTGAAGTGCTAAAGAGAAAATTTGTAAAAACTGACTTGAACTCTCCACATCAGTGATATGCCTTTTCTTTCAATGAAGTACAAATAACACAGCACAAAAGAATAGAATAACAATATGTGGGGTTGCCTAATGCAGTAGTTTATGTAACGGATCCCATTTCTATAGTTTAAAAAGTTTGGTTCCGGAATCCTGTGTGGCTCTATTCAGAAGTAAGCCCCCTATATCCAGTTGGGTTTACTCTGAGGCATACAGGTATGGAATTGTAGTTTAAATATATTCTAATGGTAACCTCCATTCCTCCACACAAAATATCTCCAGGGATGAGTATTTTACTGAAAGATAAACACGTTTACAAAAAAGTAAATAAAACATTTGGAGAGAGGATAGATTACATGTGCAAGAAATACCTGTAAATGTATATAGGAGGAAAACAAATATAATTTTCTTCTGAGTAAATCTGTACCAGGCTTACATTCTTAGGCAACTGCAAACCTGCAAACATTCTTCCAGCAGTAAGTCATGATGTGAATGTGGTTCCTTGGTGCAGAGGAACTGAAACAAACAAATGTGTACCTGTTACCTTTAATTGAGCCTTATAGGTGAACAGATGGTAAATCAACAGGTAATACAGAAGGCCTAGAAGTGATGGGAGAGTCTTTCTAGCATCAAGATGGTGGTCCTCTACAATGGCTGCCTTCTCCACTGCATACCACATAGACGTTCCTCATCTGAGGAAACTGAATTTTAATTCTCTAAGGCTATTGCTCGCATCCATTTAAGAAACAGGGGCCAAAATACCACTAGTTACACCTATAACTATAACACAAGCCTCAATTTTGGAGACAGTGCCTCAAGTTGAAGAATCACCATAGCCATTACCTGTTGTGCACTGATTTGTGCGACCCTGTGTAAACAAATTGTTTCTATGATGATTTATTACAGAACAGTTGACTAAATTGTTAACCCTGTTAACTGTTCCTTTGTTTCTGACATATGAATAGGGCTTCAAGATACGTATTTTTTTTTAGCAAACTCCAACTGCTGGATACTGAAATTTCAGTAAAAAACCAATCAAACTTAGATCCCATGGGACCATATCCATCCCTGTATACAATGTATAACATAGTAAATCAGTTAGTCTGCTGTCGTAATTCAGTGTATATAACTGGCAATCAATGGCATAGGGTTTTTTTTAGAATATATGATGCAATTTAAAAATAATATTTATCATATACATATTCTAATAAATAAAGATACCTGTTCAAAAACATTAATGATGCAACTAATTTAAGCACGAGATGAAAGCAAGAATAGTCAACTGATTATAATATGACTGATTATTAAAAAAAAAGAAGGAAATCAATGCACATCTCATACCTTGTATCTTCCAATGCACAAAAGTTACTTCTGCCTCTGGGGTTTTTGATGGAAGCACTGATTCCTTTGTGAATTCCTTTCCTGTTGATTCTCATTAATAGTAGTATCTCGCCATTGGCCACAGTGAGGCAATCCCTTTTCGGAAATCTATTTTAACTAGGATGGAATAGGAAAAACTGGTAGATGGATTAGCCAGTTGGAAGTTGGATATCTTGTTAGGGAGTCTTGTTTGATGAGCCATTATCTCCTCAATATTTCCTTCCTTCCTTCCTTGTTCTGTGTCCTAGGGCTAAAAATGTCTTCTGCCTTCTAGCACTAGAATTCTGCTTCTTTACCGTTCAGATTGTCACTTGCTCCACACCAGGAATAAATTCCAGACTGAAGACCCACAATGACTTTTTTCAAAACAGAAGTGAACAGTTTACTTTTACAAACTTTTTCAGAAGTGTATTTGTCTCAATTTGTTGTTTACCTGTATGCTCACCCATGTTTCAAAAATGTACAGTACTGTAGATTGGTATTTATTATTTTATACTTCTGTCATAAATAGTCTGCCTTTGGATCTGGGGAGACACAAGATGATTTAGGACCAAGCTCAGACAATGTGGTAGGATGTTCCCTCATGTGTTTCCATGTACTTAAAGAATCATTCATATATATATATATTAAAGGGTTATTAATAGCTTTTTCTACTCACCTTTTTAAAAAAAATCATGTGTGCTTTCATAATAATACTGTCACTCTGGTGAGAAGACCAAGGCCAACTATGCATTCAGACAAATGCATTTCTTAAAGTGTGTTTAAATTGCAAGGGGAGGGAGGGAAACACTAGGTCTCGATCTGGATCAAGAACCTACAGGAGTTTTCTGCCCAAGGTTCCTTTGATTTGCTTGCTCATAAAGGTATATTTTGCAATAAACATAAGCTGTGGGGTTACATAGCAGCCCGAAGGGGGGATTTTAGGTTGGAAGTAATCACATACTCTCGATTAGGAATACGTTTCAGATTAATGCCTCATGACTGTTTTTTCTTCCAAATAAAAATTGCCAGGTTGCACATGCTTCATGCATTATTTACCTCTGTATTCTTCTGTCCTTTAAAAAAAAAAGTGCAATACTGAGACTACTGGTTGGTGATCGATTCTGCTGTCAGCTAAAAATGTGCTTTAAACTCATATTGCAAAACCATCCACCCCTGTCAGCTGCCCATCACTTGTAAATTTGGCCCATTTTGTTTTTAGGCTGCCGCGTTTCCTTCCTGCAGGGCTTCTTTGTGTGCAGGTGAAATGGTGTGGGAATAGCACATACACCCCAAGGCTTGCCTGCAGACGGGGGAGGGGGGAAGGGAGGGTTGTAGCAGTTGAGGGAGTGTTGAGAGTTTTCCTGACCCTGAAGCTATAGGCATGCAGTCTCAATGCTAGGCTGAGCAGGGGAGATCTTGCTATGCCCGTGGTTATGGGATCTCGTGAGTTAGTAATCATACTGCAACTGCAGAAAGTAGGAAGTGAAGATCCTTCCTTTGTCATTTATTCCTTGTAACAGGGAATATACTGGCTTTGTAGAGCAGTAAAATGTTGTCATTTTGTATACCCAAAGATGGGTGTCATTTCTGTCTTTTATGGCTGGTACCTGAGCTGCTTCATTCTGCCTGCTGTAAATTATTATTCACTTAGAGACATGTATGAGCATACAGGATTCATGACCTACCATTAAGGTTTGGACAGCTGATATTGGATGTCACTAAAAGATGGCAAATTCAGTGATCTCACTTATTAGTGTAGGTTTTCTACTGGGCTGACAGGAAAAGAAGAGCCACTTCTGGGATTTTCTGCCTCAGGTGCCATAATTTGACAGGCCTTGGACAGCATGCATATTGACTGCAGGACACCATTTGCTTTCCTGCTTAGGCAGCAAAATGTCTTGGGTCATTGGTTTCGGCCAGCAATTTTTTGCTTTCCGCCTAAATACAACTAAAAGTACTTGTTCCCAAAACAAATGTACAGTATTGCTAATAGTTACTCTAACTTACTGTGCTTCACTTAGCAGTGTAGAATTGTTCTGCCAATAGGGTGAAGAAATAGGGAGCAAAACAGTCAGCTATGAAAGGCCGAGGCAACAGATGTTTCTTTTAAAAACTTTCTGTGCTGCTTCTTGTGGTCCTGTTCCCTCCTGCAACTATGTATAAGGAATTCTTAATAGCCCCTTCTCCTTTTGCAATAGGGCTTCGTAGGAGATAGCTGGAAGCAGAGGGAACCCAGTGTGGAGGGAAGTAAGAGCAACCTGGGGAAAGAGGCGGAAAGGGCAATGTTTAAACACTCTTCTGTGCCACTCTTTCTTATTATGCCCGTCTCACAGGGCCCTTATACTGGAGAAGATGGGTCATCATCAACAGTGTACAAGGTGTTTTTTTCTCCTCTGCTAACTGTCCTCAAAGGCTTTGCTGTGTTTTCCCTGTCATATCTGAAGTCCTTGTGTGGGCACCAAAACAGAGGGATTAAAATTGGGATGGCAGAAAGCCATCTTCCTATCTGTGGGACAAACCGTTTCAGACTGCATGAAGACAAGCAGCTTGGAAGCACCATGTTCTGCCTTTAATCATTACCCCCTCCCAAAATATCATAATGAGGTATTTTGAACATTATGTTTTCTTTCCTGTCCTTTCTTCCCTACCTCCTTATTTCCTTCCATAGCGGGGAAAGTTGCATAAATTCTGTTCTATTATGCTCCAGGTCTTGCAAAGGCAGCCTTGTTATGATATTGTTATAGTCTATCTTAATTCATTAGGCGATGCAGAATCTATGTCACCTTTGGAGGGGAAGATGATCCAAAGCACGGTTGGGGTTTTCATGCTGCGTGAAACCCAAGGGACTAGTTATCCACAAGCACATGTGCTCAGGTCTGTGTTTTCTGACCCTCCCTCTACATCTAAACCCAACAGAGATAAGTTATCTACTGTCTCCTGTCTGATCTTCACTGTGGCTGCCAGTTCCCTTTTCATCAGGATGAAGATCCACTGTTTCTTGTTTGAAATGAAATGAACCTGTTGCTATGGCTACCCATGCTTTGTATGAGACTGAATTTATGCTGACTGTGTGAGGTCTACGGATGAGTATGTTTCATTACTACGTCCAGTTTTTAAGCAGGATAATCTCTCTTTGACCATATTTTTTGACTCCTATAAATGGCAGCAATGTCCACTAATAGTGTTTTCTCTCCTCTGTCTTTTTTTTCTGGATTTCCTTTGTAGCTGTAACTTATACAAGTTACAAGAAAACGCCGCCGCCTGTACCCCCTCGCACCACCTCTAAGCCACTAATCTCAGTTACAGCACAGAGCAGCACAGAATCAACCCAGGATGCCTATCATGATAGCAGGACTCAGAGGATTTCCCCGTGGCCTCAGGATGGTCGAGGGATGTATAACTCTACAGACAGTTTGGATAGTAATAAGGCCATGAACCTCGCCATGGAAACCGCAGCTGCACAGCGCCACATGTCGGAGAGCCAGAGCACCTCAGTCCGAACCAGCGACAAGGCGATCCTTGTGACAAAAGCTGAGGAGTTCCTTAAGAGTCGGCGTTCATCGATAGGGATTCAGGTAGCCTGCCATTAACATCTCTTCCGTTAAGACGAGTTGTTTGCTTCCATTCTGTAAATTGCACCTGAAATGAGTCATCCAGCTCCAGTGGCTTCTGTTCACCTGAGCAACAATCCCTGGCTGTTTAGCATGCATTGTAATTCACATCATGGCTATGTGGCCATCCAGAAAAGGTTTCGGCCAATATGCAGTGCCTGGAAATTAAATGAATGAATATCTCTCTAGACAAGTTACCTGGCATTCATGCTTGATATGGAAATTACAGTGCTCAGTCACAGGTGAAGAGCATGCTCATCTCTCCCTCCCCCCCCTCTCCTCACTCCATCACTCTCCTTCCTCAAACTCAATTCAAAGTCCTTCATGGGGCTGGACTCTTGTTATTGCCACCTGTGCGGGGATATTCATAAATGAATACGAATACCCCCATCTCTAGTCCTGACATATTGCACTACCAGAGGAAGAACACTACATTGCCCTCTACTTCCTTTATGGTTGTGTTTTAAGAGCAGAAAAAGCTGGCCGGATAGCTCAGTGAGTTTGGTCTCTGGCTGTGGAACCAGAGGTTGGGAATTCAGTTCCCCACTGTGCATCCCAGATGAGCCAGCCAAGGTCACCTTGGGAAAGCTGCATAAACCCAGGATGCCCTCAGGATAAACCACTTTTGGGTGCTTGCTGACTAGAAAACCCTGAAAAGGGTTGCCATAAGTCAGAATTGATTCGATGACACACAATTATTATTATCATTATATTATAGCATGTTTGCAGAGGCTGATAATAGAGAATATTTGTTGCAGGATGCATGTCCCTATATACATGCTGAAGCTATATTTTTTCCTCTTCATTGGTTGGAGAGGACTAATCAGAAGAGAAGGAGGACAGACTAAAATGGACAAAATGAAGTGGTGCAGTCCCTGCATGGAAACATGAAAGCAACTTTTTGATTATTTGTTCGAAAAATGTGAAAACTCTGCACAGAAAGTGGCCCACACCAGTTCTGAGGTATTGCATTGTTGCTGAAGTGACAAACTTAATAAAAGAAGATTTTCAAACAAATCTTCACGTGATTGAAATGACTGGTGATCTTGTCCCCATGTTAGGATATCACCTTATTTTGCAAGACTGAATCAAGTTTCAGAATGCTGTCTCTCGTAAAACAGTTATTACTGCTAATAATATATTTGCCTATACTCCTGAAAGCAATGAAGAATATAGGCAAATACTTGGTTATCGGTTTATTTAAGGAGCTGATTTACAACATAGAATTTATAGTAAGTTTTCTAAGGCAGTGGTCCCCAACCTTAGGCCTCCAGATGTTCTTGAACTACAACTCCCAGAAGTCTTCACCACCACCTCTGCTGGCCAAGATTTTTGGGAGTTGAAGTCCAAGAACATCAGGAGGCCCAAGGTTGGGGACCACTGTTCTAAGGGGTTGTTTGACTACTCCTTCGCTGGATAGCTCAGAGAGCTGGAAGGAAGTATTTTATGAGTTGAGTACCTGGCTGCATAATCAGAGGTTGGGAGTTTGATTCCCCATTGTGTCTCCTAGAACAAGAGCCAGCCTGTGAAGCCTTGGGCAAGCTGCACAAATAGTAAACCACTTCTATATACCTAAAAACTCTGGAAGGATGTGCTGCAAGTTGGAATTGATTTGGCAGCACATAATTCCTATTCTTACCAAGTTGCTGAAGAATTTTAGGGAATAATTGACCATTAAATAAAGTAGCTTGAGTGAGTACCATAAATATTCAGGGTCCGCTACAGTAAAAAGAGAAAGTAGTCTCCACCGTCTAAAAGCCTTGATCTTGCTCTATATGACAGTAAGGCAGCATCGTGCTGGAAGGGCATGCAGCTCTCAGAACAGCACTGTCTCAGGCATAATGGAGGTGATGGTTGCTTTCCCTTCAAAAAAAGAAGAAAATTCTTTTAAGCAAAAGGCATTCTGCTGACAATGATTATTGAAAGATTGAAACAGGTGCCGTGGAAAGCTTCCTGATTAGATATGCCTCATTTCCATCCAATCTTTGAAAAGCCCTTCTACATACAATGAGTGTCCTAGGGGTTCCTAATGTGCACTTTTTGCTTAGGTCCTATACCAATAAAATGCCACTGGGTTTGAATGGAAACCCTCTCAAGCTCATATATGGAATGCAGCATGGCATAAACAGAAAGGGGTCAGGTCAGGTCTTTTCAGAGTGCTTAGGCAGTAATTAAGCATGGAGCTGCAACAACATACACAGCAGCACTCTGCACTGAAGGTCTTTTTCCAAGGCCTTGAGAGACGATAATGAAAAGCTCCAAAGATCATTTGCTAATTTGGGTTTCCAGGGACTACATTCCTGTTCAAACTGCCTTGCTCATCTAAGAAAGGTGCTGACAGCCATTTTCATTTGTATTATGGCTGCGTCCCAAGCACAGATAATATAAGGGTCATGTGTCCATCTCTCTTACTGAAATTAACACTGATGCTCTCATTCCATCATTGAATGTTTCTCGCTCTCTCGCTGTCTCGCTTGCACTCTCTTGTGCTCCACCAAGGTGATCATCTTTGCAAGGACTATATCTGACTCCTGGTTAGGTGGTTTGGGGGTATTTTTTTTCTACTCACAAAATACCTTAATATATTTGTCCAGCAATTTATACAGACACAGTTGAATCTCTATAGCAACAAGGCATCAGGTGTTCAATCCCCATTGCTTGCTTTCAAGTTCAGCAAATGACAAACATTATTTGTCAAAGGTACAGGCTTTTTAAGCAAGCGAGCGAGCAAGCAGAACCCACTGAGAATATGGAGTCCGCAGACCTAGAAGTACCAACTCAGTCACATTATTTACCCACAAGGAACAGACCCAGCTCTACCTCAGTTAAATTCTCATTCGTCCCATTCGTTCCCTTTCTTCTTTGCACACCACACCCTCTTCTTTCTCTTGTCCTAATCTCTCTCTCTCTCTCTCTCTTGTGCTCTCATTCAGTTTATCTAAGATGTACAACTCCCAGAAGCCCCAGGCCACCATGGATACCAGTTTGTTGGGGGTGAGGGGAACCCAACATAAAATTATGGAATAATGAAAAACCCATGAATTTCTGGGACCCATCTTGTCAAAGCCTTTAAAGCATAGATTCCCAAAGTGGTCTCTATGGACCCCCAGGGGTCGATTTCGACTTCCAAGGGGTTCAAGTCAGAGAGAAAAAAAATGGGGGTGTCTGCCATTTATGTTGCACTGGCACAAAATGAGAATTGGATTTTGCCATTTTATGACCCATGAATAAATAATTTCGATAGGCGCTTTCAATGCCTTTATGGTTCTTCCATTCATGAAATGAACTCTGTTTTTCTACACCTATGGCCTATTTCTACACCTGTTTATCACTGCAATAAATAAAAGTATTATGAGAGTTTTCATGTTTACAGTTCAGGAATCATGTGTTTTGTAAACCTTGTGGAGAGAGTGGATTTATTTACATATTCATATGATTAAAAGCACTACTCTTCTTATTATTAGACGGCTGTATAGAGACACTGTGGTGCACCTGCCTGTATTTTTATTCATAGCAGGATTGTTAATTACTGAATTTTTAAAATTATGCTCCTGTGGTACATGACTTGTAAACTGACTCTAGCAACGTGAAAGCATGCAGCTTAACTTAAGGCACTAAGCTACTGTGACAGTGTTCATTTAGCCTTTTGGCTCTGCAGATGGAAATCATTTACCACATGAAGGGGGAGTTCCATACAGAGCAGATGAAGAATTCATATTCTGAGAAGAATAAGCAGTCATATGTAGAATATTCAAACCAGTGGGAGTTATGCCAATGAATCTATTTCACACTATAGTTTTCGTATTGACAGAGACTAACATCAGAAGTAGAATGTTATCTCCATTTTAAAGACCATTCCAGTCCTAAATGTTCAACTTTGTTATACCATCCCAGGCAGGTTCTGGGGGTTTCCACATGGTGAGCACGTGCACAGTTGTTGTCTCTCAGTCAGTACAATGAGAAAACACCTTCATAAACACATGGGGACATGTGAGGAAAGTTGCAGTCATCTTTAGCAAACTGTTACATAAAAACAGCAGCCACTTTATCTGTCATATACTGTATGTCTCCTTTACTTTTATGTGCTTTACTAGAAGAAGCAGCAGTAGTGGAATCAGCCAACTGTTATGTACATTCAGAAACGATTCTGTTGTACCCATAATGTTTGGCATAATACTTCAGAATATAGTCCATAATGTAATAAACCAGGATATTTGTGGTCTTGTATAACTGGAGATACTTGTACATGATAATTGGCTGTAAGTAACAGGGGATACACCATGGGTCCATATTTATTATGTCACCATTATGGGGAGACTAATGCCATGTGCACAAGACTATAATGATTATTATTATGTTCTGACAAGTCAATTGCAATTTATGGTGGGCCTTGCCAGGGTTTCCTAGGTATAAAGTACTTAGGAATGGTTAGTAGTCCTTTATTCTGGGGGCACCCTGGGGCTGTGCAGCTTGCCCAAGGCTACACAGGCTGGCTCTTCTCCCAAGAGCCAATGAAGAGTTGAACTCCCAGCTCCTGTACTCTAGCTCAATACCATATTCACGGAGGAACACCAACACTTTATAATTTGAATGTAGGCTGACACCAGTTGTCTAAGACTGAAGTAGCACAGGACTTCATCACCCAGTTTAAACATCTCCATCACTCATTTTTCAGTATAGATCATCCTTCTTCAAGCTGGTGCCTTCAGATGTTTTTGACTACAACTCCCATGCTTCAAGTATTTTGTACTACAGTGTCCTTAATGGGTCATGAGTCAAGGCAATGGGAGCTGTGGCCCAAAATCTCTGGAGAACCCTGGGTCAAAAGAGGCTGATATAAATACTCTTATTCTTAGCCTGAATAGGAGGAAATTTAACAAAATAACCTAATCCAAGCCAAGCCCATCATGTTTCAGTTACCAATAAATATCTAAGTAATTACACTTCAGTTTTAACATGAAGAACTGCACTTCATCTCACATCTCACAGTGGTCTGGCTATCAAATTAATATTCATCAATAAAAGAGTTTTAAATTGTTGTCTTGAGCTATAAAGATTCTTGGGAAAAGAGATCAGCAAGTTAACAAATAGAAAGGAAGAGAACTTTTGGTGGCTGAATGGCTTGCTCCACAAGCCCAGGCCAATGAGCTGCAGGGCTCTGTCTTGGAAAATATAGAAGTTTGTCATCTTTTTCAGCTTCCTAGAGTATTTCTTGATTTGTTAATTAATTAGTGAATTAGTTTAAATTCTGTTCTCTATTGCACTCTAAAATGTCAAAGTTTCTATGCAAGAAATACACCTGTTAGTCTTCGCTTCAGAACTCACTGACATGGCATCATCTCCCACAGTGGCATACGTACTGTGAGAATAGAAGAGTTGCTTGAACATTGGCTTTAAGGAAGGACTTGCAAATGTAGTGAATACATACACAATAACTCATTCCAGAGATGCCCATGACATTTATTTTCATTTCAGTTACATTCAGTAATGCACCATGCCAGATATTTTCTGGACATTTTTCTAAGAATAAAACAAAATTATGAGAAGTTCCAGTGCTAAATTATATCCTGTCATTTCATGAACCCCCTTCAATGATATTACCAAAGAACAAGATATATTATTACAAGTGTGCCAACAATACACAAAACCTGTTATTATGTCAGTATGTCACCTTTCCAATAACAATCTAATAATTCACATTGCATTTTTCTTGACATAATGGTGTTAAATAACTGTGCCGATAATCTCTCAGAACAACTGAAGTTGAACATAGTGGCTTGTTTTCAAGAACATGTGTCTACCCTTAATTTATAGGAATATCATTCAAGGTCATTAGATGGCTCAAATCTATTTTCGTAAGTTCCTTAGAGTCTAAGGATTCTGTTGTAAAAGAGAGGCCTTTATTTATCATGGCTATGACCATGAGCATTAGATAATGAATATTAATTCTACAGCACAATACATGCCAGTGGCCTCAACTTGGTGTTGCAAAATATGGTCCTCTTGCATAAAATATCACAGCAATTTACAGAAATAGGACTACAGTGGTACCATTACATTTATACTGTATCTATAAAGGTTTCCTCACACGTGGGACCAAGAAGGTAAGGGAGAGAAGTTAGTATGTATGCATCTCTTCCAACAGCAGCCATGACATCTAACTCCCTAGAAGCCTCTCACAAGCTGATCTCTGTGCACTGGTCGGTCTGTCACCTAGAATATACATACGCTATAGTGCTGGGATAGGTGGACAGCTTTGGCCTGGCCTGATGTGGGCCTCCAAAGAGGGTAGCAGAAAGAAAAGGAATGAGCTTACTCAGTATGGGGTCTGACACAATCCTCCACAAGCCATAGAAAAATAGAGAGGGTCCTGCCTTCCATCTGGGCATCTTTTTTATTTGTCTATCTATAAACCTATAAAATGAAAAACAATGAATAAAATTACAACCAAATCAGTGAAATTTCTGTCACAAAGTTAAAAACAGGAAATTTTACAGAAGTCAACAATTTAAAAATAACATGTGGAGGGAAGGGTTTACATTTTTACTCTCACCTCTCCTTGACTGGTTTGTTGTTCCCCATCACCCAAAAAAAAAAAAAAGGCCTAACTTCTAGCAAGAATTACTTCGGTAGTGATGCTTCCATAGTCTAATTCTCAGTATTTCCATGCACATCTCCAAACAATTACCAGGCACTAAAAATTGCTGACGGAACCAGCTACATCCTGTAGAGGCCATGCAGACAAAGGATTAAACAGACAGGTCACCTCAGATGAAGGTGTTATGACCACCCCTGAACACAGCTACCCTCCCCGTTCCCAGCAATTTGAAGGTGGATGGATGGTTCTGATAACTGGAATGCAGAACAAAGAGCTCAGCAATTTAGGTCTCTGGATGAGGTGCCAGAGCTTGGAAGTTCAATCCCCTCACTGTGCCTCCTTGACGAGGGGTAGCCTCAATGAGCCACAGGGTCCCTTTGAGCTCTGCAGTTCTAAGATTATTTCAGTGAGTCTCGGCTGATGAGCAGAAAACTCTTCCCCGGTAGCAGTTGGAGGCAGGCAGTTGGATGATAAACCCCACTTGCCTCGGTTGATGTGGAAGCTCTGGCTGTTATCTGCTAGCTCTACGTTTTCTCTTCTTCACTCTGATTTTTGTAGACCAACCACCCATCCGTTCTCCTTTCCAAATGTCCATGAGTCCAACAGCTGCACCCTTTTTGTCACCATAGCAGGGCTTTGGCCCACCTGACAGAAAGGCTGCCCTCAAATATTTGGCCTCTAAAAAAGAACTGAGAGGAGACAGCAAGGAAGAAGTCATTCGGCAATTGTTGTTGTGGGTTTTTTCGGGTTCTTTGGCTGTGTACCTTCAGAACACGGCCAAAGAACGCGAAAAACCCACAACAACAATCAGATCCTGGCCGTGAAAGCCTTCGAGAATTCATCCAGCAATATTGGTAATAATACATATATTTTTAAAAGTGTACATATTTTATGGTAGACTTCAAGCATGATACTCTGATTGACTCCATAGAGAGGTGTGCAGTTTGATTCAGTCGGATTCACTTCCGTTCTTATTCATGAAAGGGGGAGTTGGAGTCCCCCATCTAATTTTAGACCAAGGATCAATATGATGGCTAAACCAGATGTCAGGTGCTTAATGGTGTAAGAGGCATGGTCAGAGACTAAAAAGATTTTTTGTGATACACAAACAAGGTTTAGACCAGACTGTTGCAGTTTGATATTTCGACCTTATATTACTTACATATAGCGTTGTAAAGAAGAATTTGCAGATTCAAAACCAGCCATTGACACAATTGATAAAGATTATGACTCAAAACTCTCTAAATCCAGATAGTGTTTTCTTGGGAATGACCTGAACAGCAACTCTGGAAATAAAGCACGATTACTGCTCGTGGTGTGATGTCATGTGCAGAACTTTGGTGTGAAATCTCTGTCTCTCACTCTTATAAATTATTAGGATAAAATTGACCAATTTTCCACACCCATTTAATTATATAGGTAACCATTTTCTCCATAGAATGAGATGATCCCATTTTTTATTTGTTTCAAATGATTTCTTCAGTGCCCAGTTTTTTTGCACTTGAAATTAAAATATTTATTTTGCCAAACTGCATAGAAAATCCTCATTTGGCACAGGTTTCTGCTTCCAGCCATGGCAAGGAAATGAAAGATATTAAAGCATGGAAGTAACCATTGGGGTATTTAATCAATGTCAGCCTTGGCAAGCTGCAGAGAATGATAACTTGGAACACGATAAGTCTCTTGTGTTGGTTGGCTGGCACCAAGAATTTAATATCCATAGTTGTTGTTTCTAATTAAAATTAAAACATTCTGATCAGCTACTCTACAAGGGGAAGCTCCTACAGTAATGGTGCCTGCTGTCCCCTACATTGACCTCCACATGTTCATTGGTTCGGTGCATGGAGACCCTGTGCATCAGCAAGGCTTATGTGTGCACACTTTCTTAGAGCTACTACCTTGAATTGTGCTCAGTGGAGTACCTCCTGGTGATGAAGGAAGAGTTGAGGAGGCAATTTCCCCAAGTTCCTCTTCCTTTCTGTAGCATCCTCTGCCAGCTCTCACACTACTAGAGGGATTGGAGTTTTTCCAGAAGCCCCCTGTCGCCAGTGGAATGTGTGGGAGATGATGCAGGGAGCTGCAGAAGGAAGTGGGAATCAGAGAAAGTTGCCACCCTCTGGCAAAAAGTCTCTGTTAGATCCCAGCTCCCCTGCGAATGAAAGGTCCCTCTTTTTCGCAGGTGGCTTGACCATGAAGGAAGTGCCTTTGCGCTCATACACCAAAGCTCTGTGCACCAAGAAAGCCCAGGGATGTGTGCAGTTGTGCCGGAAGACGGCCCAAGCAGTTCCACTCCGCATGTGCTCAAGCTGCTTGGTTTCCAAACCACGTGCAAAGGGTCACAAAGCAGAACAAAAGTGGCCATCCATGTTTTGTTTTGTTTTGTTTTAAGACAAATCCTTAACATCAAACACCAAATGATTTAAACTTATTTGATTTTATTTGACATTTCTCATAGCGTGCAGGCAACCAGCACCGAAATCTGCACAGCTGACTTGTCAGTGCTAACAGGCCCAAAAGACTTACCATTTATATATACAAAATGTAGTGTGACCTTAAATCCATGGGGTAGGAATAATCCTAGATTGTCAATGTTCACTTCTGCAGATTTGTCTTTTGTGTTGAACTAGGTGGAAACAGCAACAGACTCGGATACTGAGAGCAAAGGGCTACGGGAATATCATTCGGTTGGAGTGCAAGTGGAGAACGACAAAAGGTACGTGAAGCAATATGAACCTGGTGAGACTTGTATGTGGATTGGAGGATGTCGGCATTTTACTGACGGGTTACAAAACTCTCCCATATCCTTTCTGTTTTGGCAGATATACATATCTCATTTATTTCCCTTCATTCAACATCAGTGATAATGTGAGCCGCGGCAGCTTTTGAAAGATATTTCCAGTTGATTTACAAATGATGTGCTTTGTTTTCCACTGTGAAGAAAAATCAATGTTTGCTTCCAAATGTAGTGAATGACACTCACATCTATGTTTGAATCAATGTCAACAATATATCCAATGCAGACTGTGCTTCATTCACATGCTTCATTCAAATAAATCCATTCATTCATTTTCCTTATAGTTAATATTTCTGAAGGATAACATTAAAAAAAAAAACACGGAATGGCAGCAGAGTAGAGGTAGTGTACTATTTTCAGTAAAACCTATTTTTTGTGAATATATAAATTAGTACCTTTCCTTCTATTCTTCTCCAGACATGGACGGTTTAAACGCTCCAATAGTGTAACAGCAGCAGTTCAAGCTGACTTAGAACTTGAAGGCTTTCCAGGACACATAACAATGGAGGATAAGGGACTTCAGTTTGGTGGCTCTTTCCAACGGCATTCAGAACCTAGCACCCCTACTCAATACGGTGCAGTAAGGACTGTACGGACACAGGGCCTGTTCAGTTACAGAGAAGATTATAGGACCCAAGTAGATACCTCCAATCTCCCACCACCTGAACCCTGGTTGGAACCAGCCATTGAGACAGTTGAAACAGGACGAATGTCTCCTTGTCGACGAGATGGGTCTTGGTTTATGAAGTTACTACATACTGAGACTAAGAGGATGGAAGGATGGTGTAAAGAAATGGAAAGAGAAGCAGAAGAAAATGATCTCTCTGAAGAAAGTAAGAGTGTTTCTATATTTACAAATGTAGCATACTATTTCTACTTTTCTTTTACGATATTTAGCTTTTGTACTGTTGCTATGATGTCATCATTTTTTAAAAAAAACTTAAAAATAGCCTTCCTTATCCAAATAGAAGCATATCACTTAATTTTGGAACTGAAATATAAGAGGAGAGTTTCTAGTGGGGAATGTTGCTTTATTTACTTATTTATTTAATTTAAATTTTATTTATGTAATTTCTGTCTCACCTCTCTCAAATTGTGGACATAACTGTTGTTTTATTTACTTACTGATTTATTTATTTAATTTAAATTTTATTTATGTAATTTCTGTCTCACCTCTCTCCAATTGTGGACATAACCGATGGCATGAAGTCAAAGATTTGATGCTAAGAAGGTCACCATGCCACCCAAGTGTATCTTTCAGTCATGGATTCTACGTGTTTAATACATCTTCCGTGGTTATGGAAGTTTTAACCTATTAATATTTCTGCATGAAAATTGTTAATTAAAATAAACCACGCACAGCTGTGTGGTGTCCTTTTGTCAATGATTTCCAAATATGATGGAGAATTCACAGGAGATCTAAAACAAACAGAAATTACTATGACCCAGTCTTTTGGAGAGGTGAAGAAACAGAAATATAGTCAATAAGGTATTGGAAATGTGGAAGATCAACTCTGCTTACCAGTCTGCTTGTTTGTAATTGTACCTATAGTACTGAGCTTTAAAATAAGATAGGTCAAAATATTACAGAATAAGAAGTAGAGGAGAGATTGGGGGAATGAATCCCAAATTTATTATATTCTGTGACAAGACCAAATTTCAAAATTTGCAGTGTTTGTTTACACTAAGTGGTAACAATTTCTAGACAATAATATTGGTCTATATTCAGCTGTGGTATTATACATGTGCAGTTCTTATCTGCGTAAGTGCTTGTGCAGTTTCTAAGCTCATGCTGCATGGACTGTTCTCACATTTCAGAGTTATACAATGAGGGTCATGGCTGCACACCTGTGCAGCTCCGCAACCCATTGTAAGTATGGCAGGTAGATTTTTTTTCACACAGCCACTATCAAACTGGGTTTACATCATTGACCACCCATCATGGTTTGTCATCACTTCAGTTCCTGAAAACATAAGACAAATTGATGAAAAGTAGGGGTAGAAAGCCAGCATTACCAGTGCTGCAGGGAAAATTGAGATATAGTCCAGCAACATCCATGACTGAACAAGACACCTGCTTTTTAGCAGAAAATTGTTGTGGGGTTTTTTTTTCAGACATTTGCTACTCCATGATATGTTACAGAGTTGAAAACACTCTATGCCACTTTGTTTACATTTGCATTACTTTTTATTGTCTTTTTAGGGGTGTCTTTTGTTCACCTGACAACAGGGGTCCACAAATACCATCCCCACTGTAAAAACTTGTGTGTGTGTGTGTGTGTGTGTGTGTGTGTGTGTGTGTGTGTGTGTGTGTGTGTGAGAGAGAGAGAGAGAGAGAGAGAGAGAGTGAGCACAAATGTGATTTGTGAAGTCAGTAATGAAGTGTTCCAGGACATTCTGAAAATGGGTGACAGAAAGAATAAAAGCTGCCAGGAGCAAGAGTGGTTACAAAATGTCCATTTCAAAACCATGGTTGGTTGTGTCTTGTGTACAGATAGCAGCCATTGGTCATGAAGATCCAGTTACCACTGCAAATGTTTCCCATCCCTTTTCCTGTGCAAAATATTCTTAAGCATTCAGGCCAAGAAAGAGGCACGTGGCTTGCTATGGATGTCACCTCTCTCTTTACCACAGCAGAAGCAATCCAAGTAGAGAAAGATACTTCCAGAAATGTAGGAAGATGCTAATTAAAAAAATAATCAAAACATAATAAGCAAAAAAAACCTAAATACAGAAGGTGAGGTCCATTTATCTCACTGTCCTGAAGAAATACTTTCCATTGGTGGAACAATTGGGGGTAGAGATGATTACCACTCACACCTTCGAAATCCCTGCTCTTCATCGCCCTGGCCTGAACTATACATTATAGATAGCCACTAGTTAGAAGCTGAAATCTGATTTAGGCAGATCTTTATGAATGAGCAATCATACCTGCAAAGAAAATCTGTGCTTACTTCCCTGTGATCAGACACAAAACAAAGCAAGTTACCATATTTTTCCATGTATAAGATGCTACTTTTTCCTAAAATAATTACATTAAAAATTGAGGGGTGTCTTTTACATGGAAGAAAGCTGAGATAGCTGAGGAGAGAACAAAATGGCACATACTTTGCCTCTGTAAACAGGCTTCCTTCAGGCTTAGCTTCCTCCAATCATGAGCCTTATGGAACTGACATCAGCTGATATTGTAGAAACCAATTGGAACACACAGGGACTCAAAATATCTGATCATTCTGAGCCTTAAGGCCAAATCCTCAAAGCTAAGTCTTCTTAATTTTGGGGTTAGAAAAATGGGGGGGTTCTGTCTTATCAACGGGGGGCATGTTATAAACAGAAAAATACAGTAATTTGCAAACTGTAGGAAACATGAACACTTTCTGCTCCCCTCTTTTCTTAATATGCTAAAAACACTATTAACAACAAAACATGCACATTAGGCAAACCAATTGGAAAAGACAGCAGTAGAAATAGAGGTACAATGATGATGATGGCCACCATGATGACGACAACAGACCTATACATAAATGTTTCAAAATGTCTAAAAATATTGTATATCTATACCTATATCCATGGTTGGGATGCTATGCATTCATGTGTCAGTAGAGTTGCAAGATCCTTGACTGAATGATGGAGGTGAGCATATATCTTTTCAGTATTGCAAGGTGAGTCTTCTAACCACAAAAGGGTAGAGAGAATCTGTTTTCATTTCTAGTGCTTATCTTCAAGCAAATGGACAAATAATTTAATAGGATATTGGTAGTAGGTGTAGGACTTTGTGTTAATACAAATGGGTGGGGAGGAAGCATGAAAGAGGCTCTTGTTTCCATTGTTTTGTTCATGAAAAGAACCGGTTCCTTCAGGAGAGTCTCTTAAACACAAATTATTTGCGATAATGGAAGAGTGATACACAAATGTTCCATGTTCGTTTATGTTTCCCCCTTTGGTTTAACCTTTGTGTTACCCTTTCTCTGTTAAGTTGCCTAGGAACTTTTTCATCCAATTGGGTTGTGAAGTTTACGGCCAGTAGCCCTTCGTAACATTTAGAGGAAAACAGGAATGTTGAAGCTGTAAAAAGGGCCTGGATTGACTGTTACCCAGTGGTAGTGGTCTTTTTGTTTCGTTTTGTTTCACTCATTCCTTGTGGGTGTGTCAACTCCTGGCACACACCATCTTGTGCTCCCTTTCTGCTCTGCTCCTGCTTCTGTGCTGCTGTCTTTTCCTCACGTTGTGAGATTTAATTTTCATTTCTTTGTGTGTGTGTTTTTCCTTTTGTTGTTGTTTTTTGGTTTGTTTGTTTCTGCCTTGCCTATCAGCTGGAATCACAGAAGATAAGAGAAGGCATCAATGGAAGAAAGGGGAGAAATCTCTCTGTGTGTGTCTCTGTGTGTATGTGCTTTCCCTGTTTTCATTTTTTTTAAAAAAATATTATTTGATTAATTTCCTGTGTGTATTTATTTTCTTAAAGATTTGGTGGGTCTTTTGATCCTGTCCTGTTGGATAATGGTTTCTTTTACTTTTGCCTGTACTGAATTGCACCAGAGATGCTGTGAACAAAATGGCACCATGAATACTGAAGACTGTAAAGCAGTTGTGAACATCATAGAGGAAGGACTGAGGGAGTACATGGACCTATTTTGGACTGTTAGATCAATCAGATGAGAAAAATTCTCTCTTGCTTTTGTTTGTTTCATTTCACTTTAAGTCACATGCAGTCTGGAACATTTGTACGGTGATAGTCCTGTGATGTTACAGCCTGAAATAAGGAAAAAGTCCTGTGACACCTTAAAAGCCTTCCAATTTATTGTCCTCTTTTTAGTGTTAGTTCTGGTGGCTGAGGAATCTGTCACAGCCTGTAATGCCTCTTGCTCTTGATGTAAATAATATGAATACTTCTGGATGAGAAGTTATTTTGGCTCAAGGAACTCTAGTCAAGCGCCACCATTTTCTACAGTGAAATATCACTTCTAGTGGATATTATGGAATAATCTATATATTTAAACTGAGTGTTTGCCTGTCTTTGTATATTCATGTAGGCTGAGTACAGTGTAAGAGGTTGATATTTATGAGGCAGCATATCTGTGTCATTCCTCTTCTGTGACTATTCCTGCCAATAAATGGTTTGTCGAAGGAGAGATGCAGTTTGAAGGACAACACTGCTTTCTGTGAATGCCGCAGATTTTGCAAACATAGGGCCAAGGATATGACAAAGCTTTGCTAAGCTGGCCAAATGACCCCAGAAATTAGAAAGCTGCAAAACTATACAAAAGAATAGTTTTCAAGACCACCAGAATCCTTTTTCCCCCCCACTAGGATATTGTGTCATGGCCTAAGTATTTGGGTTGTGTTTTTTCACTCCCCTTTTTCTGACTAGCCCAACATTTAAGGAGCTAGGTTTCTGTGTGGCCTCCTCCCACCCTGGCTGCCCAGCCAAAACAAAAACTTGATTTGCAAAACAAGCAGTATGAATAGGGGAGAGGAGGTTCATTCCTAGATGACCTTCTATCCTGGAGGCTGAGTGGGAAAATTCCAACCGCACATGGCACCAGGGCTGAAACATTTAAAAACACCCACCCCCCAATCTGCTTAAAACCAGCACTGAGTTCACCTAAGAAATATGCCTGGCAGACGTCTGCCATGACAGTTTGGGGACATTAATTTATAGTTTTTCTACAGCATGCCTGAGGAAATGAATTTATTCATGAAAGCTCACACTGAATGTTTGATTTTCAGTGGGCTAAATAAAGGCATCACCTAGTCTACATTTGTATTGTGTGAAGGACCACATGGCTCCATTGTTTACCTCAGGAGCTGTTATTGTGAAGAACAGGGTGTT